TATAGAGGCCACTCGTGCGGAAATAGAGTGCTTATCGCTTTCCTCGGCACAGACTTTGTCGCAAATCTCYAGTAAGTAACATCTCTGGAATTACTTTCGCCGCTAACATGCAGACTAGCTTCCGATTGTAGTAACGAGTCCTACATTCCATTCCCGAAAGAAGTTATAATGGAGCTAGAGATCGTGGAATATTCGAGCGCATGCGATACATAGGAGGCTTATAGGCACGAACATCCGCTTAAGGATAATCATCTTCTATAGATGCAATGTGAGTCTAAGTACAGTATTAAGAGATAACGTTAAATGCCTTTTAGCAATCGAGTAATGTTAAAATGAAACGAATCCAAAAATTGAATTCGAGGAGTCTTGTTAAACTTGTGCACTCGAATTCCACATTTTCGCTATTAAATTATCCACTCTTACAAATCTCCAGCTTGGTACGGGCACCGTACAATTGAGTTAACGTCCCTCCCTATAGGTCGAAAAACCCTCTACACCGAACGAGATTTATAATTTAGGCACTTCAAATCTTTACAACATGATTTTATAAAGTATGCTCGCTGAAATAGTGTTCTTCGAACAATTTATCCTATAGGACTCGGCTATAATAAGCCTGTTACTAAAGTTTAGGTGTCGCCGCTAATAAATTCGCGAACAGCATCCTAAGCAGCTTTAAGTTCACACTTTTACTCTGTTACTACCGCTAACATTTATTTAAATCGTAGAGATTAATGCGAAGCTTGCCTTATAAGGCCGATTCTCCTTAATTTTAAAAGAGTTTAGCCTTCGAATGCGTACGCTATAAATTAATCCGCGCGGAGATAAGAGCTAGGCCTTAGCGAGAGAATTTCGGCCTTTGAACGACGCTATAATACGCGTTATTAACGTAGTATCGTGTATCGAGCTACGCTAAAATTTAGCGGGACTATAGCGCATCGTCGTAGAGGCCACGTTCTAGCTAGTCTTAGGAAGTATACATAGTAGGGGTTAGTTCTAACCTATACCTCCTATATTCTAATACTATAAACTAATATAAGCCGAGCGAGTAAGGTGCTCGCGTAAAAGCTACCTATAGATAATCCCGGACGTACGTAGTTCTAGTAGAATAGGACAATATTCCGGTCTCTACGCTAGATCTACCTAGCTATAGCGGTATGCTACATCTTCTACCTAGCTATTCTAAAGATAGGACGGAAGTAGTTTCGAGATATACCGGCTATCGTAGCGTACTTAACTACCTATATATATCGGATAGCGGTAGTTAAGTCTTCTATAGGTTAGTAGGACAAGTAGGTAGGTTCCTAGCTCCTAGCGGAGAACGACATTACGTATAACGGCATATTATATATAGCGTAGCATCTTAGCCTTACTATTCGCATCTTAGCTAGTTAGTCTACTCTCCTCGTTACGGTTCCTATAACTTTCCCTTATATATAGGAGGTTGGGTTTGCTATATCGACGAAATRCTAGACTAGCGCGTAGAATATAAGACTCCTTAAGGTCGACACCCTCGAGTTCGCCGAGTTCCGCGATAACGAAAGCCCGACCTACGCGATTACCTCGTACCGATAGTAGGGAGAGGAAGTTACATACTAGGAGGTAAAGGTAAAGTGTATTACGAATAAGAAGGGCTACGAGAAAGTAAGAGACTTTACGAAGTACATCTAGGAGAATGTTTCTACGGTTAAATAGCTCTAGATTAACACCTGCTACATTAATAAGGATAGCGCTATAGAGCTCTCCGAGGAAATTAACCTAATGTTTAAATAGTATCGTAATGTAGAAGTTTGTCTTATATACCTTATAGATATTAATATAGCAAGAGACGAGTAGAGCCTCTAGAAGAGCGAGTGGTTTAAGAGAGGTTGGACTTTATAGGAGCTCTTAGCGCCGCGAACAGTCGTCTTCGTAACGAGCAAATAGTAAGTTATCGGGAACAAAGGTGCCTCCTCTAATAAGTATAGCGGATCTCCCGCTAGGCCTAGGCTTAAAAGAGTAATTACGGCGAGGACAGGTATATTAGAGTAGATACTATATAACTATAACGTAAGCCGAGGACTAAGCGTTAACGAGAGGTTAAAATAGATAGAGGGTAGGAAGACTAGTCGCCCGGAGGATATATTATATGCTCTTTTTAGCATTTTCGACGTTACCCCGGGCGCGAACTATAGAGAGGAGCATTACGGAGTACGGAAGCGTCTATTAAGGGCTATATAGCACGAAAAAGTCCTCGCGGTATAATAAGTAGAGCAGTCTCGGAAGATTACTACATAGCTCTCGCCGCCTAATCCCTAGACGAATTATAAGTCGGTACGCTAGCGGTACGAACCTTAGACAGGCACCTAGCTACTCGATTATTATAAGTATCGAAACTAGAAGTCGGCGTCGCTACGATACCTATAGGTATATAGGAAGGCGGGATGTAGAAAGACGGTGCTCTACTCTATAGTAATTAAAGATGTAAAAGCACATTATAAGAGCGCCCCTAACTCTAATTATGCCGTCTTCTACCTTTCTTTCTTAGATAATCGAAAGTAGAGCTACGAAGATGTTTTGCTTTCTTAGGTAGTATAGCTAGGCTAGAGAGAGCCGGCTCTTTCTATACTATAACAAGTATACGAAAAACCGAATCGGGACAAGCCTAGGTAGGATAAACTAGAGAAGATTCTACTAGCCTACGTWGAGACGTACGATAAGGTATTCCTCCTAGTCGACGCGCTTAACGAATGTCTAGAGGAAGGCGATACGCGACACTATATAATAGAGTGCTTAGTAGGACTTTCGTATACGGCACCGCAACTTAAGATTATTACGACGAGCCGCGAGCTACCTAATATACGGGAGTATATTTTAACGCTAGGAGCCGAACCTTTATACATCGAAATGTAATCCGTAGACGCGGACATTCGCAAGTATATAGCAACATAGCTATTACGTAACCCTCGACTCTCTCGACTAGATCCGGCGACTAAGGTGCTAATTACCGACATAATTTCTAAAAAGGCAGATAGGATATAAGATTCTTAGCTCTTCTACACCYAGCTATAAGCACTAACGATCTATCTATACATAGGTTTCGATAGGCATTTTGTTAAATGTAGGAGCTAAAGAAGCTAAAGTCTATAAGGCTAAGGTTTATAAAGGAGGCTCTATACTCCTTCCTATCGACCCTAGACGAGACGTACGAGCGGATGCTAGTTAGAATCGATAAAAGACTACGCCTAGATGCCCTTAAACTCCTTCGCTAGCTAGCTTATACTATATTACCTCCTAGTCTCGGCGAACTCGTCGATGCTACTATTATCGACGAGGCGGCGGACGGAAGGGTAGAAGTAGACGATCGACCGGGATTAGATAACGCCCTAGAGATCCTATCGGATCTTATTATTATTATAGGAGACAGGTAGGACGAAGATAATCTAGAAGACGTTATAGAAGTAAGAGGAAATAAGCTGGAGTCTAAAGACGATAAAGTCGAGCTTATAAGTCGTCGTCGTTAGTAGATTATAGAGGACACTAAGGTTAGACTAGCGCACTTCTCTATAAAGGAGTACCTCGAGTCGAAGCGCATTCTTAAAGGCAATGCTAAGGACTTCTCCTTCGAGAGCTCTAGGGAGCACTAGATACTCTACTAAAGCTATATTACATATATTAAGTAATATAGTAGGAGTGCGGAGAAGCGGTCTACGGAGTAGGATCTTAAGACATTCCCGCTACTTAAATACGCGGCAGAGTCGTAGTTCTACTATTTAGCACATTAATAGGCAACACAACCTACTTACGAGCTAGGTCTACTATATAACGAGGGCGTATTATGTGACTAGCTAAGAGTGTACTAGCTAGACTAGGAATTAAAAGGTCCGTTTAGTAACCTAGGAATCGTCGGATCGAGCCTATACTACGCTAGCTATATAGGCCTAGAGCGGGTAGTAGATAAGCTTCTAGGGGTAGGAGAGGACGTAAACGCTTAGGGAGGACTAATAGGCAACGTACTACAAGTTACATTACTACGAGGTTATGAAATAGTAGTATAAAAGCTAATCGACGCCGGAGTACACGTGAACGCTTAGGTAGGACATTATATTAATGCGCTACTAGCGGCATCGATTAAAGGCTATATAAAAGTAGTTAAGCTACTCCTCGATTGTAGAGCAGAGGTAACTATCGATTATAATAACATAACTGCTCTCTACTATACTGCTCTTCGGGGCTATAAGGACGTTACACGAGTTATGTTAAACGCCGGTATCTCTATAGATTTTTCTATAAAGAGGGAGAGCTAGCAGTTAATAGAACAAAACGGCGAACGGCTATAGGAAGTACAGAATAATCCGCACCTACCACCGTCATTTAAACGACTAGAACGAGGGCTTACGCTATTACACTATGCGGCTCTAATAGGCTCTACTCGGATGGCCAGATTCTTTATTAGTAGTGGTACGAACCCGAACGCCAGGTCCGAACACGGCGAGACTCCTCTCCACCTAGCAGTCAAAGAAGGGCTTTATAGCCCTTTATGCACTAGAGGTGTTCGGGACCACTGGAACGATCCGGATCTTAGAGTTGAATGCCTACTTGATTTTGTATCCCCCGACGACGAGGAATTGTACCGCATAGAACTGGCTAACGTAGAGGCTGCTCGTAATGATGTGCTGGACATACTTTCCTGCCACAGTGGGACAGACTTCTCCGCTGAAGATGATTCTGGTATGACCCCATTACACTGTGTTCCCTACAATAAACCATCATGTACAGGAGTAATCACCAGGCTTCTCCGGAAAGGTGTCTCGGTGGATTAATGCGATTCACTTGGACGCACCGCATTGCATCTCGCGTGTTTAAAGGGGAACGTTAATGCCATTCAGTTATTGATTCGCCACGGTGCGAGGATTTGCAATACCGATAAGACAGKGTTGAACTGTCTCCACTATGCAGCATACAGCGGAGACGAGGAAGCTATTCGAATAATCCTCCAAAGTGCTACGGACGCAGGACGCAGGATGTTTGCCAAGACGAAAGACCACCAAGGCCACAATGCACTCCACTGTCTCCTGGGAGGAAATGGATATGTCGATGTTGCCGCCGTCCAGTGCCTAACAGCGCATAATGTAGGTGTTGACGATCTTACTGATGATGGCGATTGTCCTTTGTCAATGTATTTCACAAGTTCGAAGCATTGGCTTGATCGCTCTTCGCACAAAGCAGAAATTGTTAATCATCTGTTCCGCGCAGGCGCAGACCCCTCTTTTAAAACCGCCAACGGCTGCCTTAACTTCGGTCATCTTGCAGCTTTTGCAGATGAAGTTGGCGTTAAGCTTTTGAAGGTCCTGGCAGAGAATGGAGTCAACTTGGCGGCGGAAGATTATGACGGCCGCACAATGTTGCACCATTGTGCTTTGCATGGGTCGATTGAAGAGGAAGATACTTTGAGTTTTCTTTGCGATGAGGTTGGATTGTCTAACGATTCTTATGATCGTTCTGGAATGACGCCGCTGGCTCTAGCTACGCAAAAGAAGCTGGAAGTCCATCATCCACACCTTTTTCGATCGAGGCGGTGGATTCAGACGGAGAACATCCTATCCAGCAACCTCAGCGACCACCGGAAGAATACGTAGATCGGGAGAAAGGATTCGTCACAGTTCACGACTTTCTGAGCATCGTGAACCCTTAGCTCATAGGACTCCAGAGTAAGATCTTGATTGTCATGGGCACATTAGAAGCTGCGTGCGACAGCAGACAGAATTTTGTCGTCTTTATCAAACCTTCTTCTATGGAATGCCAAGCCGGGTTATCCCGAAGTCTCCAGCCATTTTCGATTGATCCATGGATTAATAGAAACGCTTCCGGAGTCACTATGTCACATCGGTAGCGGGGACTAATTACGTAGTATGCTAGACAAAGTAGAAAGACAAGGTGTACTTAATAATATAGGACTCCTAAGGATATAGTAATTCCTACTAACGTAGATAAGTTACCTGTTTAAGGAATAGCATCGGGTAGACTCTAGGCTAATGTTAGAAAGCATCCGCACCTATATATAGGTTACCTAGTCCCGTTACCTATACGATAGCAGCTAAAAGATCTTCGTATAAGGAGCTAACGTAGCTCTTATACTAACGTCTATCCTAGCGTCGCGAGCTACCTAGTATAGCGAGCCGCGAGAACAGTTTTCACTTTTTCAACCTACGTCTTATAAGTATAAAGAAGCTTACGGTATACGATACTATTCTTTAGTAACCTCGGTACCGTCGAGCGAAAGTATAACTAAGAATACAAGATGTTAATCGGTTAGTCGTTATTAGCGTCGACGCCGCTAATCGGCCCTCCTACGACTCGCCTATATTTAATCGCGTTTCTAACGCTAATATTCCATCTAGGTAGGTTAGTTTATACAGCTACGATAGTTATATGCGTTACATAGCTACGAAGTCTAGTTAAGCATACTATTATAGTTTCCGAGAGTTTCTCCGTTAAGATAAGAGCTATTCTTAGTTCGCATAAAATTTAGCGTGCGTATATATACTTACGTAGTCGGGTAATAACCGTTATCTTATAAAGACGCTATTCTTTACCGAGACGTCTAGCTCCCTCGCCTCGATATAAGTCGTAGTACTCTTCTCGATGCTTCCGTAACTACGTTACTACCGCGTAGTAGCGTATGTTCTTCTTACAAGTTGTTACACTTTAAGGCTTAGTAAAACTCTACTGCATTCTCCTATAACCTATAAGAGCGCCGTTTATAGATAATCTAGGTTAGGATTAAACCCGAGGATAGGTACTAGGCTAGAAGCAGTCCTAATTACGACTCTGTTATAAAAGACACTCGAGTAAGTTCTACGATACTTAGTAGGCAGCTATAAGATATCTTAACCTCTAAGGCGAACCTATTAGTCGTGTAGTTCTAGAGCAGTAGTAGGTAGAGACCGGGAGAGCTAAGAAGAAGTAACAAAGGCACTAATGTAAAATTCGCCACTATCTGTCCGTAGGGTTGCTCTATTATTTATAAAGTCGATTTTATAGATGTAGCTAACATCTTAAAGACAGTAAATTTCCTCGCCTGTCTTCTCGTTCTATAGCCGCACCGTCTTATCCTCTAACGCCGATGCTACTACCTCCCCGTCCGGAGAGAAGGCTACCGCCGTAACTATATTATCGTGCCCTTCGAGCTTCTACGTCTCCTCGCCCGTCTTCGCGTTCTATAGCCGCACCGTCTTATCCTCTAACGCCGATGCTACTACCTCCCCGTCCGGAGAGAAGGCTACCGCCGTAACCACTTTATCGTGCCCTTCGAGTTTAAGAATTCCGGCACTCTAATCTTATAGTACTTTCGGTAGAAGGCTAAGCGGCCGCGGACATTAATCTTCGAATAGTCGTCGAACAACACTCCGGGCGGGACTAAAGATAATAGTAGAGTAGTATGCCTAAAGTGGTACAATGTTAATAATATGCCTATTTTTAAGTATAAAACGGCGTACATCGGAGAGGAATGCTCGCAATTAGTCACCCTAGCCCGGCTATGAAGTGTTTTAATTAGTCTTATCCTCCAATTCCACGTTCTCGACTCACTTGAATAAGGCGCTCTAAATCATTAATAAAAGCGATCGCTGTTAAGAGTCTCCCTAACTAGCTTACGGCTTCTAACTAGTAGAGGAAATGTGCTTTAAAGAACCTAAGAACCGGACTATTATTACATAGTCTTTACGCGCTATTAAGAACGTGCTAAGGCTAATAGCTATAAGCGTACGCAACCTCGGTAGTAATAGAATCTATAATATACTAAGAAGTAACATCCGCTCGTCGGACGCCGGGACTATTAAATTCACACATATTTTGCCTAAGGATTCCTAGCTAATCGAGTATCTATAGACACCGGGTAGCAAGCGTGCTATACATCCGTGTAGCATCCACCTAGAATCTGTTAGCGTCCGCCTACGTATTGTTAGCTAATTCGTCGAGATGCGCGGTAGTACTAGCGTATCGTTTCTAGTTAAACAAGAAGTCGCGGAATAAAGCGTAGAAGAGGCGGACTAGTGCATTATTAGCAACTCGTACATCCGAGTAAAGCTAGTCTAGGCCGGATACTATGTCGCTTTTACGGACTCCTAGAAGACTTATAAGCGCAGTAGCGGGAAGAGGCTTAACGAGCGCTATAATCGTGCCTATAATGTCGTAGGAAGCAATTTTAGGCTTTAATCGTAGTCCGAGAGAGCTCCTAGGCTACATTACATGTTACAGGATCTAGGTGTAGACGCAATCTAAGAAAAATGTCGTGTGGACGTATTCCTAATCTTCCTTACTAGCCTCTACTATCGTAGCTTCGTAGTTGGGAACGAAAAGCTTTAACGCATCCTCTACTACCTACTAGTCTGCGACAAATCGATATACAGTTGCTACAAAGATAAACAGGCCTTCTAAAAAGCGTATAAGATAATTTACGATGTTAATACTAGGCCAATCCGGCGCAAGCCACTCCTACGATTGCTTAATCTTCTCGAATTAGTCTTATAGGAAAAGACAAATGTCGGCATTAACGACTTCTCGAGGAACATCGTGTAAGATTAGATCTTAATAGAGAATAGTAGGTATACTCTTAAAGCTAAGCCGTATCGGCGTCTCTAGTCTGCTTATAATAACAATCCGTAGCCGTATACGAACGATCCTATGTGCCTACGATAATATCGCGACAATGCCGCGGATACTAGTATCGTTATTACACTTATCGAGCGCGTTAACAACGATTACTACAATTGGCGTTCTTTCTTTCCGCTCTATCTGCCTAAGCGGTTAGGCAACTAGTTTGTCCTATTAGTCTCGTTAAGTCTTCGTCGTAATGTCTAGATTATTACGTATAGCGTCTGAAATATGCTATTCTACTACTAGAAAGGCATAGGATAGCTGCTTAGTAACGGTAGTGAAAAAGTATCTTATATATGCCACATCGCCACCTCCTCTTATAAAGAAGAAGCTCGCTCCGAGCTTATTCTTTTACCGGAACTCGCGGGCGAGCGTACGGGCAATTATAGACTTTCCCGTGCCTGCTATCCCGTTTAGCTAGAAGATACAGCTGTCTTCTTCCCCGTACGTCTATGCTCTTATCCGGTCTAACACCTCTATACGCGTATTCTCGAGGTATAAAGGCTCGTTTTCCTTGCTTAGCGAGTTAAAACCAGCTTCTTAGGCATAGGGTAGGACGGTCGCGTAGCGTCCGGTGGTATTATTTCGGTCACCGTAATTGTTTATAACGTTACCGTATACGTTTCTATTATGCTGTGTAGCGTTCCTAGTCGCGGTGCTTTAAGCGTAGGTAGCTTAGTGTCCCGAGTTGTCTATACTTTCTTATATTAGGAGTTAAGTACACTAGCCTCCTACTATCTTATGCTTCCGAGGTAGTAACGGTTCGCTTATCGCCTTTATGTGAGGTGCGTTTATAAGGCGGAGTCACAGCTCGCGGTAGCGTAGCTGTATAAGTACCCGTATAGCGCTCGCTTCCTGCTACTATTAGGCCTAGATAGAGGTGCTAAGGCAGCCTCTCTATAGTAGGTGTACTATGTAATACACGCCTAGTAGAAGAGACTGCATTCTTAATAGTACGAAACCAGGTCACTTAAATAGACGATAAAATTATATCGTAGTGTATAATATCGTAGCTATATTCTAGATATTGTGTAATGTAATCACTTGTAGAAGAATTAAGAAGGGTACCACGACTTTTGTCTTCGCCGATAACCTAGCTGTCTTATTATAGAATAGCACGGAGCATAATCAGCGCTAATTAATTAGTGCTACGAGCTTCTATTCAAGCGCTAAAATCTTACGCGAATTAAGGTTGCCTCTTTTAGACGGAGAAACTCTCGGAAACTATAACAGTATACTTAAATAGACCTCGTAGCTATAGGACACATACACCTACCGCAACTATATAGCCCCAACCTACCGAGATAGAATATTAGCGTTAGAGACGCGATTAAATAGGGGCGAGTCGTAGGAGGGCTAGTTACCGGCGCTAACGCTAATAACGACTAACCGATTAGCATTCTATATTTATAGTTATGCTTTCGCTCGAAGGTACCGAAGTTACTAAAGAATAGTATCGTATGTCGTAAGCTTCTTTATGCTTATAGGACGTAGGTTAAAAAAGTAAAAACTGTTCTCGCGGCTCGCTATACTAGGTGGCTCGCGACGCTAGGATAGACGTTACTTATAATAATCGTTAAGAGTTGAAAATGTGTAACGTCCATCCTAGCGTCGCGAGCTACCTAGTATAGCGAGCCGCGAGATTAATTTTCGGCTTCTAAGTCTACGCCTTACGAGCGTAGAAGACCTTACGACGTACGGTACTTTTCTTTAGCGGCCTCGGCACCTTCGAGTAAAAGCATAACCGGAAAGACAAGATGTTAATCGATTAGTCGTTTTTAGCGTTAACGCCGCTAGTTGCCCTTAATAAGACCCACCCCTATTTAATCGCGTCTCGAGCGCCGACTTTCTATCTCGGTAGGGTGGGGTAGTAAATATTTAGTAGGTATTTCTATCCCACAGCTACGAAGTCTATTTAAGCATTATGTTATAGTCTCCGAGAGTTTCTCGGATAGAAGAGAGAATCTTAACTTATAATAGGAGTTTAGCGTACGTAAGCGCGCGAATATAATGCTATAATTTGTGTTAGCTATAGTTAATACTATCCCCTTTACGGACAGCTTCTAGATAAGCTTAGACGTAGCTTAGACATAAGTCGTAGTCTGTCCGGCGATGTTTCTACTACCGCGTAGGCCCGCGAAGCTTAGGTATTCCGGCGGGATACTATAGAGGTAGAACAGTTTTATTACACGGCGAACGTGCCAATTATACATTATAGCATCTAGACTATAGCTACGATATTAGGGAATGAATTTAACTTAAGTAACCTAATTTTTCGGACTTCTACATATGTCGGTGCTCTCTTATATAGCCCTACGGGAACCCTCTAATTAAGCTTTTAGCTAGAGCTATAGAGTAGCAGTTAATTAAAAGCAAGCATTCATTTATCTATCTCCTTCCTATTACGGAAGTATAGGGCCCTTAATTAATAGGGATATAGTAAAGTTAATAAGAGCTATTTTTACTAATGAATCCTTATATCGACAGCTCTAGTACTAATGGAAGGGATAGTATAATAGCCTACTTCCTTACTATCTAGGCATCGGTACCTCTATAGCTCCTATATTACGACTTTATCGACGGAACAAACGCATTCCGGAGGATTTGGCTCGGCTTATAGGGCGGCTCGCGGCTAGTATAAGAGGGGTTGCGAAGCACTCGTATAATTCTTTAATTAACACTTGTACTACCCCTTCGGAGCTGCTCCGCGGGGAAGCTAGAGGGCCCTCTAGTAGTAAATTGGCCTACTACACCCTCTATACCACCTAATTAAGGTTCAATTGCGTCTAATATCGCTCTAGGCTATGTCGGTAGGTAGTCCGTATAAAAAGTGTTGTTTTTAGCTAACTTAGTATGTTATAGGAGCCGTACGAACACGTTAAGCGGCGCGCTAGCGACCGCCTACTACTACCGCTCTATAACTAGCTCCGTAAGGCATTCGAAACCACGCTCTTTAGTAATCGCTCTATTAGTAAGGCCTATAAGGTGTCGCATACCACAGTTAGCCGTATACGGCCGAGTTTCGAGCTCTTTAGCGAACCGTATCCCCTAGTAACGGTCCGTAGATATAGGCCGGCGCGCCTAACGAACTAAGAAGAGGTAGAGTTTATAGAGTTTATAAGCTCGTAGCCGGACGCGTATCTTAATAAGATGGCTTAGTAGATATTCGACAACATAGGCCACGTTTACTATAACTCTAGCGTGTTCCGTATCCTAGTAAGGAACGGCTAGAGTAGGAAGGTAACACGGAGGATAGCTAGCGAGCGTAATGTAGAGCTAAGAGCTTACTAGCGAGCGAAGGCGATAGGTTAGTGTCGTAAGTAGATAGTGTTTATCGACGAGAGCGCGTATAATAAGCGAAATAGCTGGCGGTAGGTTGGTGTTTATTCTACGTTGCTTTAACACTAACTAATTGCTCGATAGGCGCCACTCTTAAAGTCCAATTAGACAGCCCTCGGATACTATATTACTAGCTAAACGGTTAGAGCGGTAGTCTCTCGTACCTACGATAATAATAAACGGATAGTTGGATAAGCCTCTATTATTACAGGGCTCGATTACCGCTAAGCACCTTCTAAACTAGCTAGTTTGGACAGTATTGCCTTAATTACTAATAGGATTAATTATTATTATAGACAATGCATCTATCTACCGGAGTAACGAGATTGTCTAAGCTATAGCAGATGCTTACTACTTCCTTAAGTTGCTTACGCTATACTTACCGGACTACAACCCTATCGAATAGAGCTTCTACGTATTAAAGAAGTAGATTAAGCGGCACCGTAACGAGCTATTAGTTAATAACTTTTAAAGCTTCCTAGTCGATGTAGTTCGCGCTGTTATAGAGGTTCTTAAGGACACCGCATAGAGGCATTTTAAGAAGAGTGGATATAGCTTATAATTCGATTTAGAACTAGTATCTATATCTATTGCCGCTGTTATTAGCTAGTCGCATTATATATGCGTAGGAAGCTCCGCATCCTCTAGAGCGTCAATTCTTCCTTTAAGTCCTCTAAGCCTAAGCTATATGTCTAATATCGCCTTTAATACCTAATTAACTATCTTTTAAAGGGTAGTAAGCTGCCTGTCCTTAAAGATCTCTACGATTTCCTTATGCGTTAGTAGTGTAGGGAATAGTAAGGATGTAGTAATTAGTAGTAAGGACGGTGGAGGGCGTGGTAATAAAGGATCAACCTATAATGTTCGAATTATTAAAGCTTCTTAGATGTTCGATTAAGGGGCTTATAACGATCGAGGAGTCGCATTAGATGTTGTCTGAATTGGCCATTTATACAGCTAAAAAGGAACGTGCGCGACGCCAAGCAATGTTTCGAAATATTGCTGGAGTTGGTGCAGTCGAGCTGTTTGTAGAGTTAAAGCCAAGTTAAAGCTGGCGAGACCGCGGGGATGCCAAGGATACCATTTTGGACCCTGAATACTCGACTCCACTCTGCGCACTGAGCAAATGCGCAACAACCATGCACTCTAGATCCACCAGATAAATACACAAAACTCGGGCTCGTCGAGAGCTACAATTTAAGCCGCTATAAACCAAATTTGGCTGCGTGGTTGCTATGTAATAATTCATGGACTATACCAGCTCAGAGAGCTGGCTTGGCCGACCTTCGTCAGCTTCGACAGGGTCCAACAGACTTCACCATGCCTCTAATCTTCCCTACTAATGCACAACAACACCAATATACATACACTTAGAACACCAATGCGATTAAGATAGATAGAACTGAATTCGAAGAAGAAGCTCGACAAAAAATCGCGAGAATCGGACCGTTGGTTCAAAAGTTATTACAGCCGCAATCCTCGCTCTCTACGCTTCTGATCTTTAAACTCCTTCGCAGAGCGGACAGCTCTAATCTTGTGTCTAATGCGTACACCGGCTCAAGTCCATACTACATCACTTACGCCTGCAATATTAATAATGGCTACGAACTCATCAAGTAGCAGCTTTCTAATAAGCTGGAGTGCAGCCTGCTGTGATTCGCCTAGCCACTCCCTTCGATTAGAGCAATACTCTATGAACTTATCTAGTTCATCTTCAACTTCCGGCTATAAGGATAGTAGCAACGGTATGGACTCTTGAGCGCCTAGAGTAGGCGTTGTTAAGGGGGCCAAGTTGTAGGTAATTATCGTATTACCGCTTGACGMATGGTCGCTCTTGATCTTTCGCACACTGTTAATATTGCCATCACCACTACCACTGAATCCCCGCTCCTTCGCAAGTACGAGATCACGAGTAATCGCACTGCCTGGATCCTCTACAGAGAGCCGCCCTTCTGCTATGCCCTTCTACCACGCCATAAGTTGAGGCTTATAGACTGGATAATGCGTAGTAGGATGATCACGAGCGTCCGGAGGTATATAGCAGTTATGACCGTAGTTCCTACAGTTGCGGTTCTCACAGGTCCACCGGCTAGTAATCGACTTAGAGTAATTGCCATCAACACGCATGGCCTCTTGATTCTGAGGTAGGCCTACAAGCTGTATAGTGGTAGCCGTACGTTGAGTAGCTGGTGTTAGTGTTGGAGGAACAACAACTATAGGCTCCAGCTCAATATCCACGGTTACTCTGAGCTCTGGCCTACTCGCCCTATTGAACAGCTCTAATTGCCGTACAATGCCGGACCAACTGCGTGCATCCTTCCATGTAATCTTCGCTGCATTGTGCGCAGCGAGACCTTGGTAGGCGGCAGTGAGCTTGCCAGCCTTCACAATCCCCTTTATGTCAACGACGGTCTCGTTAATCCACTTGCTAACCGATCCAGCCATGTCCTCATCGCTAGTCACGAACCACGTGTCATCAACACTGTCCTTCCCTCGGCGACAACACAGGCCAATCCGATACTCGAACGGCGGCGGCTCCTCATCATCCTCTGGCGTGCCCTCTGTGAGAAACAACGACACAGAGTTTTGCCGCTGTGAGGCTGCTCGCTGCTCTGAGGCCGGTGGTGCTGTCTGACTCTTCCGCGCAGAGCCTGCCTGCGACACCAACACGGCCGCTTTCTTCTTCTTCTTCTTCTTCTTCTTCTTCGGTGGCTGCTTATCGCTAACATCATCAACAGCAACCGCAGGCCGTCGCCCTCTTTTGGAGGTTCCGAAGATCTCGCCGCCCTCAGCCTCACACCGCGCATTCAGAGCATTCGCCTCACGCCTACGCGCATTGCGGTCCACTCGCTGCCGCGCCTTCCTCCGCCGGTCGTCGAGGATGTGCTGTATCTTCATGGCTCGAGAGACCATGGCCTGCTCCGCATCCGTGTGGTATTCGTAATAACGCTCTTGCCCTCCTTCGCCATCACTTCTGTAGTGCACGAGTAGTTCGACAGCCTCCTCAATTTCCTTGATCTCTTCAACTGACATCCTCACAGAGCCACCCTCTATCGAAAGAAGTACACCCTCAAGCCCCGCATCATCTACCACAACAGGTTCCGCCGCCTCTTCTTCCTTATCCTCTACCACGATAGGTTCCGCCGCCTCCTTCCTCCGCGAGGGCTTCAGGGTCGAGATAGCAGCGTCATACGCCGGCCGGCGCGAACCAGCACGCTGTGAACGGCGAGGGAGCTCCATAATTGGTGGTGATGAGGGTGGAGCGCGCTCTGGCTCGTTTTGGAGCGAATCCACGTGATCATCGCCATTCGGAACCTCTGCAAACAGCCTCCATGCGAAAAAACGATAACAACACCTTCTGAGAACTCTTGGCAACAACACGAGCTGATGTATTGGCCTAATTAGGACGATTGGGTGGTATGGAGGGCGCTGTAGGCCAATTTACTATGGTAGGGCTCTCTAGCACCCCCGCGGCTAAAAAACTCGAGGGTGGTGCACGTGTTAATCAATGCATTCTACTGCGACCTAGACAGCGTCCTCTGCGGCCCCACCAACTAATTGTACGTGATAGGGCCACTTACTACGCACAGTGCTGCATAGGCATGCACTAACAGCGCAACATGCATAATGCAAGCACAGATATAGTACATAGACGGTTGCGACGCGGAAGCTTCCTATTTAACCAGCTTTACATTGAAACCAAAACACAAAACGGTAGCTAGCCTTTCCGGACCGAGTAAGCCGCAAGCATTATAGATCTGTAGAGTACTATTTCTACATCGCTCTCCGCTACTCCGATACCAATTTAAATAGATCGTTTACCCGCGCTCCGTTCCTAAATAAGGACAAGCGTTAGGCGTAACGTAAGAAACACAACACTATGCTACAAGATCTCGATAAATTAGAGGATGTACGCGAGGCTATACTACTTTACATACTACGCGAGAATCCAGATTTGTGCTACCCCGCTAATTAAGTCGTTGATTTATTGTTTCCTTCTCTATACATCGGCGGATTTGTAGAGGTATACGAGACGCGACTTTACTTTTTGCGGTTTACTAACACTAATCGCGACTAATAGGCCTTCGTCTAAATCTGAACTCGTTAGAGCCGCCGGATTTCCCTAATGCTAACGTAACTACATTTATATAGGTAATTAGGGCATGCTTTATAAAGGACATAAGCTCCCTATGTCTCGCCGGGATAGCTCCCTATTTAATAGACTTCAAAAATTTTTCGATAGTTTCTTGCTTTATAGGTATAAGAGTTATGTTCGTTATTAGTATGCCTATAGACTTTATAGAATCCTTTAGCTCCGCTTATTATTCCCGAACCATTTATAAACGATGTTATTAGACATCTCTCTACCTAGTGCTTTCTTAGCGAGCTCGGTTATATATTACCGGTATTAACCGTTCGTTATCGCACCTCTACTAATAGATCGAGCGGATAGTACCGAAGGGTCTAGCTAGCTATGCTAAAGTACTTCTAGCGGCGTAAGTAAGGTAGAATAGTATAACTAAGGAGCGGAGCCTATAGAAGGCAGCTAATAGGCATTAAGAAGGAGTTAGTATAACCTCTAAAACGTTATAATTTCTAGGAGACATGTGCTTTATAGCGTAACTATTATTATTTACAAAACTTGCTAATATTCGACTAGCCTATATCTCGGTATAAAAATCAGCCTATAAATTAACCTACCGTAATAATAGTCGTAATTAACGACTATAATTATAGTAGTCCTATATATATAGTAGCTCGGTATGTACTAAATCTCGATTACCGTCTTAGATATATACAGCTTATCCGACTTACTAAGCAGACACAAATATGCAATTAATATTAACCCCCCTTTAGATAGACTTTACCCGTCCCGGCTATAAGTAGTCGTTAGGCATAGTATCCCTAGCTTCTATTCTAGAGCAAGCTAGCCCGAACGACTATATAGAACGGCGCCCGATCGGGGACGCGAATACGTACTAATTAAGGCGTATTCCGGCTAGATCCCCTCGCTCGTTCGGTACTAGCGCGTCCGGCCGCGCCCGCGACCGTACGTCGCCCTAGAACTCGCTACGGCGCGTCCTCGTTTTAGAGTCGACTATACGACACCGGTTAAGCGATACTATAAAGATGYGCTACCCGCGCCCCTCGACCGTTATATTATCTACGCCCGCGCCTTCCCCGCCTACCGCTCCGGCGACGTACTCGTAGTCGTACTTATACTCTCGCCGCCTATCGTTTCGACTACCTCCCTCTAGCTCGGAACATAGCCTATAACTAAGACGATATAGACGCGGACTACGATATAGGTTTGCCCTCGAGCGATTACGATAGCGGGTCTACTACGACGGGCCTAATAGAGTATTACTACGATCCGGTACGTACTAAAAAAATCTATGTACCGAAGAGTATAGAGCTATAAGAACGGGTCCGGACGCTATAGAACAAGTATATACTACTCTTCGCTCTATATTATACCGCTATATCGGCTAATAAAAAGACGTATAGCTTCTATACTTTATATAGTAAGGACTCTACCGAGACGCTTCGATCCTTCCGAATCTAAGATCTATATAACTTCTTCTACTAGATACTACGTAAGGGGAGCGGACGGATCCGCGTCTCGCGGACCCTCTAGACCTACTAGAACACCCTAACGCTCGTCCGCTAGCTAGAGACGGGCTACTTCGATATATCGCGCGCGGTATAGGTAGAGATATGTAGGGTAAGTAGCACATTACTAGGGTATAGTAGTCCTAGAAGTGTGTTCTCTACTAATAACTCGTAAGGCACGGTAGAATCTCGTAGAGGAGTTTAAGCTTTCGACCGCGAAGGAGGATAAACTAATTATACGGGCGGAGGACGAATTCGAGCTACTTAAGACTCTTTAGGAGTCGCCTAAGGTAGAGTTATAACACGAATTCCTCCGAGCGTAGCTAGCGTTAATAATCCAACTAGCCGGCATTACCGGAAACCGTCTAGGAGCGCTACGCCGGCTCTAGTATAAGGACCTAAAGATCGCGTTACTCCCCGATTACGCCGGGGGCGACCGACTAAGACTTATGATTAATTTCACCTTTAAGCATACTAAGCGTTATCTCGGTAGTAAGGACGCGTAAGGCTAGACACTAATATAATTCGGAACGACCTACTAGAGACTAAGTAAGTTCTAACGTTATACTACAACTCGATCTACAACCTAATCTATCCTAGCTAGACGAAGACTATAGGTAAGAGCGGCGAATTCTTTAAACAAGTTGTAGAACAGATATAACGAATAGAGGTATTGCTACTAGCTAGAGAATACTACCGGCTATAAGAACTTATCGTTAATAATAAGGTACAACGTCTGGAATCTATAGCTGTATTTACACAAGCTAGTCCAGYTTTWKWYAAKCWGWWRWCGGCMTACGAGATGTACGAGGAAGCGTATAGGGAGATGTACGGTCGCTTGTCTTAGTAGGATATAGCATAGCGATACGATGCTTAGGAGCATCTTAGGTTAAACCGATTAGAGCTGTGCGTGAAGGAAACGTACATAGAACTCAATTTTGGCGTTGTAATATTATTCCTATATCGGTTGAAAATGATCTTTAGTAATGTATAGCTCTAAGATGCGGCATGGATTTTTCGGAGGCAAATCACGATAAGAGACAAACCTAGAATCTCTAACAAGTAGTCTTATAGTATATATAAAGTTAGCATGTAGATATAAGCAGGAATGTTACGCTCTTTCTAACACGCCTCGCCCCCGAGACCACTTCTATTTATACTACAATACAAGTCCTTTAATAAGAGCACGAGCTAAAGGTCACGCCCGTACCTACCTATTCTCCTAAAAATCCATCCGAGTATAAAGCCGAGAAGAAACGCCTTAAGGAATATTTAATACCGACTAGTATAGAGAGGAGCGGCATATAAGAGGAGATCTGTACTACGCTATTGTTTTCGTTAGCCGTAAAGCATACTATCGACCCCATCTCTAGACAACTACCTAATGCAGAATTCTCTAACACAGATAATTCTACCTGTTTCTAATTAGCTTAAGCTATACTTCCGTAGTATAGTACTTAGCATGCCGTACGACTATAATAGAATACCTACATAAAAGTCGCGGCTACGTCGATCGTAGTAAGAGTTATATAGTGCCGGTAGATGTCGTAAGGACGCTAGTGTAGAGAGCGTCCACATTCATTACTAATGCGTAAAGCACTCCTAATATAACTGCTATCTAAAATACCCTACTATCTATAAAGAACGAAATTTAAGCGTAAGTGCCCGATTAAGTCCCTTATAGCAGCCCTCTAGTAACGCTTTCCTCCGCGTACTACTAACACGCAGATGTTATTATAATTGAATCCTAATGCTTAATAGCGAGGATATAAGGCGAATAAATAATCGATCCGGAGCCCACTTTACCGCTCTATCGATCGACCTTAGCTAATTCGTCTTTAAGTCTACTAACACTAGACTCGGTCTCTCTATTAGTTCTATCCTCGCCTAATAGGGAAGTACGACGATCTACACCTACTATATCGATATCGTGCCCGAGGCGTTCTCTAATTAGCTTCTAGTACTTAGTGTCTTCTAATAACATATCGGTAATAGTAGCACTCTCTAGACGGTCGAGCTCGGCCTTCTTTAGAGCGAAATTCTTCTAAGTAGCGGCAATCTTAGCCCCTAGTAAATCTTTGTTTCGTTCGATCTTACCGATGCTAAAGTGTGTCCTATATCGTAGTTACGCTATTAGAAGGGACATACTCTTATTCTTTAGCAGTTTAACTAAAACTTCTGCGTCTTGTAGGAACTGCTTAAGTAAATTAGCGGTTACCCGTCCCCGATACACGGTAGTATGTCGTATATTAGCAATAGAGCTAAGGAACTCGCTAAATGGCTTGCCGAGATCCTCTATTTCAGCCTTAGTAAATAAGGCTTCACGAGGTCTAAGGACTCTAGTCCACACATTTAGCTCTATAGCTTCTATATAATCCTAGCCTTTCTACTTTAGAATATATTACATTTTCTCTAYGCTAAACCCGAAGTATACTACCTCGAGCATCCTCTAAATTTTAATAAGAAGTTTGTGTTGTACTTAAAGCGGTAAGTATACTAGATATAACGAGCCGCTTAACGGCTTGCACTCTTTAGTACGATCTAGAGATATCACTTAGCTTAATATTTCGATGCATTTTATAGGGTCGAAGCACCTACCGACAGCGTTTGCTAGGTTAGGTCTCTAG